TGAGCCAATGCAGACCCAGCGAGAAGTATAAAGGAGGCAGCCAGCCTCATTCCTCGCCAGATCTCCACTGGCTGTATCAGCGTGGAAGTGCTGGAGCACTTGTGCGTTAAGTTAGTAGGAGCAGCGCTGGAGGAAGCAGATGCACTGAGTGAGGGAAGAGGATTGCATGTTGGAAGTGATGCAGCCATAGCTGCCCAGCAAGTTAGCATTAGTAGTAGTGGGTTAGTATGTAGCTATGAGTAGTATTCAGAGTTGATCCTCATGAATGAAGGGTGTGTATGCATCGTAGGAGGAAGGGATTGAGGTTGAGARTGTTCATTCAAGATTCGGTTATGGAAGATACTTACCTGAGTTGAATGTGGGCTGCAAAGGTGGTGCTGATGAGTGGTGACCACATTGATGACCTGGAGGTTATCTGCAGGAGTAGCGCTGATTCATGGAAAGTCATATTGATGAGTTGATAAGAGACTGGTGTTGCGCTGATGAGCGCTGGACTCAGGGGAACTTTGAAACACTTTGTATTCATAATTCTGATAATATAAGCAGTGAAACTCGGTCCCCTTTTCCTCTACCTTTGTCTATGGTTGATACTATTGATCGCTGCGTGTGAAGATGATGCATGATATGTACACATCTGCGTGAGATGGTCTCCAGGACCCATGCAATTTCGTCAAATCAGAAAGAAAAGGAGTGTGGCGCAGTCATGAATGCACCTTATACCTGACCCCAGAGGCCTAGACCTTGTATGCCCTCTACTGGAAACTCAGGTACTGTAGTGCTGCTCATTTTTCAGAGGTAGCTCAGGCCTACATACTGAGGGTAGTAGTGGAGGGTCTGCTCAGGAGCAGTCTGCCTGCCAGCATAGGGTTACTTGCACACAGGATTATCAGTACCCTGGAGTGGGCCACTCTGCCCAAGCATTTTTGCCTAGGTTCATTGTGGGGAAAGAACCTATGGGTGCGGTCCTATGCACAAGAGGATCCTAGAGACAATCAGGCGTGGTCTGAAATTTGGATTGGACAACGGAGAGCTATTGTGTGGCAAGGGTGCAGAAGAATCCTTGTTCCGCTGTGAAACAAGGGTGCCATTGAAAAAGTAGAGAGGACAAAACTGATGAACTGCACGCATTCCTTCAGGACATCCGTTAAAGTTGCAATGTTACAGAGAAGATTGGCATGGCCCCTGCGCAAGGATGACTCACAAATCAAGACATGGTCCGAGCTTGTTATGTACGTGCCCATGTCTTTGCGTGTTAAACAGGAAAACGTTAAAAAAACTTCCAAAAAGGGATGAACAAACACACGTGCAGACAGCAGTTTACCTTTGCAGAAAGATGAATTTGACAGTAACTGTGCCTTTACCTGAATGTGTCCTGGGTTAGACTATGGTTATCCCCTGCTGTTGCGGAGGTGTTTTCCCGCCTCTTGTCTTCACTTACCTGGTCCAGTACTGCTCAGCAAACGTGCGCATGGTTCTCAGGATTGTATGGCATGGATGTTTCCCATATGGAGAAATGAGGAGTACGAAAAATGGACAGGGACCTTGTTCTGGTACAGCCAGGAGATGATGTTTGTAAGGCCAAAAGTAGAGATGTCACATCAAACGAAACCCCCCTGAACAACAGAAAACAATATTAGAAACAGTGCATATTCATATCAACACACAACTTGACACAAGAGTTGTAATGCATGGGAGGCTTTAATTATCATGGCACATACACGCTTCCATGGACGTGGTCATCATTTACCATTTCGGCTTTCTGCCTCGCCATAAAGCCACGGTTGTCATCGACCAACTTATGAGACAATGACTAAAGGCGATATGGATGTAAACACAACAGTTTCAGGAAACATGGTATGCCACTCTCCAACCTTTGGTCGTGAGCTATAGTCGGCAGGCCAGGTATTAACCATGAGAAATTCTTGTATTTTCCGTGGTGTGCATGGCAGGTATGATGTTATTCACAATGATCACCTAGAGCTGGAGGGACTCCATGAGCTTTATGTAATCTCAAAGGTTTGGTTTGGAATTCCCTACTCTTGTCAGAGTCGTTGCAGATCGTTTGCTGCTTTGCAGTGGTAGGGCTTGTTTCAAGTTTAGGGGGCTGCAAGCAAGGCTTGCAGAATTCTTGCCTGGTCGGGAGGCCCTTCCTATTTGGAATTAGGAAAAAGAAAGGGAAAATAAAGGAGGGCCTTCTATTTTGGGGCACATAAGCAAGCCATGCTGCCTGTCACTTGCTGATGTGGGCCAGAGTTCTGTCTCCTGCCTTGACTGGATTTGGCTGGTTCTTGACACTGGTGTGACTCAGCGCGGGAGCAGTTACCTCCCTGAGTCGGAGTTTATATGCCAGCATTGCCTCATAACATTAGAACGAGCTATTCGTATCGTAGTGCCTCTAGGGAACATCAGAGTGGTTCCTTCTCCACTTGCAAGTCAGGACTCAATACAACGTTATTGTGAAACCCACTTATGCACTTCTCCCCATTGAGACTGGAGTACCGCAGGCCTCTTCCTTGACCCTTGCACTCCGATGCTATTTTCCCTTAGTGCATTTTCTCCAGTTTATCAGCATTGGCTGCATGCTGGCTATTGCGAGACCTGTCTTGTTGGCTTTCTAAGTTTCAAGCCACTTCCCAAATCGCATGTGACTGATAACTCTACAACTTATGTCTTCACCCCTTGAGTCGGCACTTGCATTAGTTGACGTCAACCGTTAAACTTGGAACAAACATAGGAGATTAGAATGGCCCCTGCAATTTGACGGCGATGAGAAGTTAATCCCCTCAGTTGAGGGCAATCAATGCTGCTCGTCAGGTAATAGAGTGTGCCTGCATGTCGGTTCGGTTGACCACACATGTCTTGAGTGGGACGGACACGTGGCATGTTAACATGAACTCAGGTTGCTTACAGATTACCCGATTATAAATGTTGAGGGACGCTGGACCCGATTTCCAGCAGGTGTTGCTCCCCACCAATGGGTAGCTTTCCTCCCAGAAATCCCGCTTGCCAAACTCCCCATCGACCCGCTGGAATGGCAATGGTGCCCGTCCGGCAAGATCAGATCTGGAAAAGTCAAGAAACTGTTCGATCTGTCTATAAAAGTTACATACCGGCTTCTCAGGCCTCGGGTTGATCTTAGGAGCACCGTGCGGGAGCGTTGGATGTCCCGGCTGAATGTGGGAAGGGACTGTCTCCGCCCCATCCGATGGTTCACCGCCACAAAGGCCAGACCAGCAAAGATGGCCTCCCTGCAATGGCAGATAGAACACCGCTGCCTCCCCACAAACAATTGGCTGATTGACCGACCATATTTGGAACAAAAGGGTTTAGCCACACCATGGTGCATGTCATGTCTGACAGTCTTTCCTGCCCGCAAGATCCCCGAGACCATAGAGCACATTTTTCTACAATGTCCAGGGGCGATCCTCACTTCGCGCCGGTGGGATAGGATTTGGAGGTCACTGGGTATAGAGTCTGAATGGCCATGGGACTGGAGAGCGCTTCTTTGTGAAACATGGCTCCCCCCTACACACAGCATTTTTGAAGAGAATATGTTCAAGATCGGGAGGAGGGCCGTTATCTGGACTCTTTGGAGGAAACGATGTATATTATGCATTGAAAAAGTAAGATTAGAGGACGGGGAAATGACCGAGCTAATCAAACAATATGTCCAGGATGAACTTACAATACAAGCTAAACTGGATAGAACTCGTACCAAAAAGGACATAACACAGGCTATTGAGCAACTCTCAAGGGATTGGTTGGGAAGTGACCAAGGGGGTAGAGTAGCTTATGTTCGCTGGGAAGGAGGCAGTCTGCCAGAATGTGGAGAGGAGGAGGATAATATGAGACGAGACTACAACATCTGCTTTCAAGACTGGACTAAGGTGGATGCAGCAATACCGATGCGCTCCCCCTTGGACTTCCCTGACCCCTTCCCGCCTCATGGTCTATCAATGGTGGATCTCCAGTGGTATGGACTACAATGAGGAGGAGATAGGCACAGTGAAGATTGCAACTGCAAGAAGAAGGGGGCTGGATGGTCATATAGTTTTGGAGGCGTGGCATGCCAAGTATGAGTTCTGGCTGTTTTTGTGGTAATTGACTTCTTTACTTCTTATTCTGAATGCCTCTCCTCCTTATGGCACTGCAAGGACTTGTCAGTTAACGATGAGGGTTTCAGAGTGGAATTTGACTTTGACGGCGATGAGCAGTTAATCCCCTCGGTTGAGGGCAATCAATGCTGCTCATCAGGTAATAGAGTGTGCCTGCGTGTCAGCTCGGTTGACCACACATGTCTTGAGTGGGACGGACACGTGGCATGTTAACATGAATTCAGGTTGCTTACAGATTACCCGATTATAAATGTCGAGGGACGCTGGACCCGATTTCCAGCAGGTGTTGCTCCCCACCAATAGATGGAGCCTCCCCGAGCATGTTAGTGGTGTCTGCTCTTATCAGCACCCCTTGCATTCACTCGGGTTGTTTTCTCCAAAAAAAAAAAAAAAAAAAAAAAAAAAAGATTCATTCTTGACCTTGACAGAATCAACTCGTTACATCAAGGACAGACGACTCAACGCAGCCATACTGTTCTTCGATTTTGAAAGGACATACGACCAAAGTAACTGGAACTTCCAGCAGCAGTGTATGGAACGGATGGGGGTGGGACCAAACTTCCGGAGATGGGTCAGAGTACTTTATAATGATGCCCATAGTCAGGTCCAAGTCAATGGATTCCTCTCCAGTCCCTTCAAGATGTCACGCTTGGTCCGCCAAGGGGACCCGCTCGCAGCACCCTTGTTTCTCTTCATGATGGAAGCGATAGCATTCTTTCTGCGAAAGGATCCATCCATTGACAGACTGGTCGCTGAACCGACTCTCCACACACATGCGGTGACCCTTCCGACTACACCACTCTTTCCGGATGATCTCACATCCATCATCAAGGCCTCCGAGGCTTCATTTCAGGGACTTATCAGAGCTATGCAAGCATTCCAGCTGGCCTCAGAAATGAAAGTCAACTGGCACAAGACCATGGGCTGGTGGCTGGCAGACAGTCTGCAACCTCCCCCATGAAGTTTCCCCAATAGGGTTCAAGTGGCAAAATCCGAGAATGCGTTTTCTGGGAATCAAGCTTGCAGATTCCGGACCAGACCAGGCCATGGCATCGGAGATGCTGACGAAGACGTTACGCAAAATGGACACCTGGTCCAGCTTCTACACGTCAGTCTTCGGAAGGGCGCTGGTACTTAACATGTCCATTTTTCCAATGTTGTGGTATGCAGCCAACATCTGGACACCAGAAGGCAACATGGTCACAGCCCTCAAACGGCGAGTGACCGCTTACTCATGGACTGGGAATCTTGCGACACAGCGCTTCAAAGTTCATACCAAAGGTGGCTTGGTCGCATGTCATCCAACCAAAGAGTAAAGGTGGTTTGGCAGTCCTTGATCCAGCTACTCAAACCAAGGCCCTTCAAACGAAGTGGATTGTCAAGTTACTACTACAACAACGACGCGCCGGGACTACACTGGCCTTGAACAGGATCAGGCAGCTGCCTAAAGCCACCTTCCCGTCCAACATGCAAGGGCCCTTCTGGGTAATGTCAAAGTCTTGGGCGACTCGCAGCAACGTGCAACGGACTAACCAGCAACAACAGGTGCAGCCGCCGACCCGCTTGGAGTACCCCCCCTGGCCATTAGAAATACTCATATAAGATCCATGCAATGGCTTGTATACTATCAGGCCTTACCAGTCAACACATGGCTCAGCAAGAGACGGGAACTGGTAGAAGAGATTTCGACGATAGCTGCACAGTCTGTGATGATGGATCCCTCGAGGACGTGCTATACTGTCTGATCAACTGTTCTAGTGCACAAAGAATTTGGAACAAAACTCAGGCGTACTGGTTGGAGCTAGTCAACGCATCAACCTACTGACACTCCTGACGGGTTTGGCACAACCAAGTTTCAGAGAAGTCTGGCATTCAACCCTCTTCAGAAGACTTCGTCCTTTTACACTGTGGATCATATGGAAGACTCGATGCAAACAAACGATAGCATGCCAAAATACATCGACCCGGGAGGCCTGGGAGAATGTTCTTCAACTTCTACACACGGAATACCAGGCAGATTGGCGCCGAGCAAACAAGAATATCAAGGACGATCCCACAAAAAAAGAAACAATAATCATAGACAAATTCATCAAGGACAGGCTCGGAACGGGAAACTCGCCACAATAGAAGGTGACCCCCCGCGATTGTTTTGGAAAAGGAGGGAGGAACAGCAAGGGAGAGACAGATCCATGGTGCTTGCCTCGTTGGAAATGGCACAATCACAAAACAGTTCAGCAGACATAAATTCAGCTTAGTGGTCTTACAGGATTATGGTTTCACCGTTTCACGAAAAAAAGGACTTGGTCTCCACGTCAGGGGGTACAGTAGGGTTTAGGGTTTTAGAAGAGCGGACAGAGAGGTAGAAAGTTTCGGGGTTCAAAACGGAGGAATAGCACAGTTCTTATCTCTTGGACTAGGATCTGGTTAGATGGTTTGACAAACTGAGATAGTACAGGCTAACTTAGGCAGGGGTGAAAAAAAAAAGATATAAAAAAATGGTCCAAAATTAAAAGAGAAAAAAGGGGAGAGAGGTAAGGAGTTAAATTAGAAAATTGCTCGCCTCTTGCGCAGTGCGCGGCCACGGGTGAAATTCACTAGCAGTGGGATCATGCAGGTAGGCCCTAAGTGAAGGCTGCAGCGTCCTACTAGCTTGGCTGAGGCAGGTAGGCCCTAAGTGAAGGCCTGAAAGGTGAAGTGTGAGGCTGCAGCGTCCTACTAGCTTGGCTGCAGCGTCCTACTAGCTTGGCTGCGTCCTACTAGCTTGGCTGAGAAACGAAGAAGTGTGAGGCTGCAGCGTCCTACTAGCTTGGCTGAGGCAGGTAGGCCCTAAGTGAAGGCCTGAAAGGTGAAGGACCCGGTCAGTTTCTGAAAAGGCCGGGCCTGGCCAGGCCACGTCGGGTTTGGGACTGAACAACCTGGGTCTCAGTAGACCGCGTCTCATCTGGAAAAGACCAGAGGGAGGGTAGTGCCTATTAGCCCATTGCTATCGTGGCCTGTGGAGAAAGGAAGAGGTCGGGCAGCCTGACACACAGTTGGGTCAGCTAGAGACCATGAGGTTAGAGACCATGAGGTTCCTTGAGCGCACTAGTGCTTGACAAGCACTGCCCTTGACCAGGACGAGAGGCCGCACTAGCCATTGCTGGGCCCCTGAGAGAGGTAAGAGGTGGTGGAAGGAGGGGGGGTCCTTGGAAGAAGCAGAAGGTCACAGGGAGAGAGAGAGAGAGTTGTGAAAGACATACCTGGTGGTCCCCAAGAAGAGTTCCGGTGTTGTAGATTCTTCAGAAGGCCGTTCGTGGGAGCAGCATTCAACTCTGTGACATTGTATATTGGCATAGTGTAGGCTAGTGCGGTAAATTAAAGTAGATGATCACCTCCCAGAACGACCAGTGGAAGCAGGGAACTATTATTGTTGTTGTATTAATTGTTGGGAGGTGAGAAATGGGCTTTTCATTATCTAGAGACTTAAAAATTGTCAATTCTTATGCTGGTGTGACCATTGCTTTGTGATTTTCTGCTGATTGCCTGGTCACCTCAGAATGCGGTTTCCTTTCAGAACGGGGAAAGATCCAGGGGAAATAAAAGAGGAAGTACTAACAGTGCTCTCTCCTATATCTTACTGTTGACCCAATGGTTTGGCATTAAAAGGTCGAATAACGTGCAGAGATGAGAGAAACAAGGCAGAAAATCTAAATTGGTGAGTCTATGTGGCACGTCTTTTTTCATCTATTATTTTCGATGAATCTGGTTCTCATGGTCTCTGCTTCTTTCTATTCTGGGACCATTGCTCTGGTTCCTGTTCCACCGGGAAGCCATAGATGAAAGTTTTAGGGTCTTTTGGTGGGTGGTTTTACGTGAAAGAGTTGAATGAACATACAGAGAATCAGAGAAACAAAACAGAGAAGCCACATTGTGGGTCTGTGTGACATTCGATTTCTAGCAGATTGCAAAGTGGAATGGGCTGACACTTTACTATGCGTGGATCAAATTTGATACAGGAACTGGCAGATGGTGTTGTGCCGAATGAGTACGGACTGAACCCAAGGCAAAAGCTGAAGATTGGATCAAAGGTACCATCTGTTTGTGAACTTAGTTTGAAACTTTGCAGACTTTCTTTTGGAGTTGTTTGAATCCTTTTGTACTTTCATTGAGAGTTTGAACTCCACAGAATGGCAAGGGGTGGCCAGTGCCATGTGGCTTCATCAAGAGAACAATCATGAAAGTGACAGACAAGGCAAGTCACCAAGACTGCGTTTCCATGGAAAATTGGAAATCGACCGAGTCTAGGTTGTGCTATGATCCCCTCTCACCTTGGCCGTAGTTCGCTCTTATCTGAGGCGCTACCAACTTTGGCAGTTGACTCATGCATATGTTGTGCTGTGCAAATGTGTACATGAGCAAGACAGTGAGCTGACCGACCCGCTGTTTTTCAGTGTTTTCTAAAGTTTCTTTCAGTGTTTGGGTGGTTAACCCATGCACTGAAAAATGTGTTACCAGTGGACGACTTGTGGTGAGGGAGGGAGGAAAAGAGGTTGAGGGTGTTGGTTGCTACCGTAGTGTTTTCCAAGTGGTTTGTTACATGTTGATGGTGTGAGGACTCTGTGTGGGAGCGTATAGTTCCTTGAGACACTTAGCAAGAGGAAGGGAGGGAAGGACTGAGAGAGACAGACAGAGACGGATACACAGTCAAGGACGTTGGGTCACTCTGTTTCTCTGGTGCAGTTTTGGAGTGTGTTGTTGCACCAGAGCATATCAAAGATGTTTCCATAAGTGGGGACGCCGGACCCATTTTCAAACACAAAATTATGCCTTTGATTAAGTTTGATCTGAATCCGGATACTGGACCCTGTTTCCGGCAGGCGCAGCTCCCATTACTATACAGAGGGTCCAGTGTTAAAGGAAAAAGAGGGAGAACTGTTGCACCGAGCCAATGTGGATGAAATGCACACACATGTAACTACTAACAAACAGATGACCAGTCCAAATCCTGAAGTGAAGAAATCACATGGATACAATCTGGTAGGGTCTCCTCCCTCGTTTTGAAACGAGGAAAGAGTAAGAGTTGTTGCGCACAGTTACAGCCACGGCAGCGAGCAGGAGTTATGATCACCATTGTGTATTGAGAGTGTCAATTACATGAGTTTTGCACGTGTTGATATGATGAGATCTAACCAGGGATTGGCAAGGTATGCAGAAGATGCGTTAACTTCTTTTTTTTTTTTTTTTCCGAAAATAAACAGGTCCTTGTGAGCCTGGGCCTGGCTCCTTGTCCATTCTGGGGAGCTTCAGTTCGGTTCCTATTCCCCCGGCCAGTGGCTGAAAATAACAGGTCCTTTTTTTTTGAAGATGCGTTAACTTGATCATCGGGCCAAGAAAATAGTCATCTACTTGTATACCTGGCCAGTGGCTGAATAGTGCACACATAGAACTATTGATCGTCAACAAGTTAACGGCACCAAATTCAAATATAGTTCTGGAGAATGGCGTTGAAGGTTGGCTCCTTTTCACGAAAAGAGCAAGGAACGGTACCAGCCATAGCTTCTCTGTGTTGTCCTTTGCACAGCAGGGCGGCGCCCTGGTAGTCCGCCATAGCCTTGATCGTGAGAGGAGGAGGAAGAAGGGTGGCCATGGCTATGGTGGACCTCATGTGATGCCTGCAGTAGAAGAGGGATTCGGACATTGATTCTGGTTCATCCATTCAGCATTATTATTATTATTATTGCTTGTTTGAATAAGAAAGCTGGAGATGAGGAGGAGGAGAGTGGTTGGCGAAGAAGAATAGCATTTTCATTGGTCTTTGCTGCTGTACTTCTTCTTCTTCTTTCTTTCTTTCATCTTCTTCGTTCTTTCATCTTCTTCTTCTTCTTTCCCTCTCTCTCCTCCAAAGTTCATTCATTTATTTTCGCCGTTGGAACGCATTGTAGTTTCTGATGAATGTGTACTTCAAAATTGGCCAGGATCATCACATTGGTATCAGAGTGGATTCTACTTGCTGGCGAGAGTTGACTCAACCCTAACCTAAGTAGAGGGCTACCACTTAGCGTTAGGGCTGGAAGTTGAGGGAAGTGGGCCAGCATGGTTAAGGGAAGCTGCCCCCACCTGGTAAGGTCGTGTTGGGTTGACACTTGACCTAACTAGGTTGTGTGAGAGTAAATTTGGAATGGCGAGACACTTCGAGAAGACTTCATGCGACATTTGGGAGAGGCGACAATGAGAGGCTCTCGCACCTGGACTCTGATTCAAGGGAGACACTTGGCGACTTTAGGGCTTCCCTAAAGTAGGCGAGCTTGAGGTCTGCATCTACAGATTGCAAGTTGCCACTTTGTTCTTCAGCATCGGCGGCGGATCCGGCGTTGCACTTTGTTGTTGGAATTAGACCCTCCTAGTAGTTAGGACACTATTGTAGGGGTTGCGTTAAATGGGTCAGGAGGATCATTTGAGAGGGAGGTGAGTTATATTCATCTCGAAGCTCAGGCCACTCAGGTAAGTGTCGTGCACATACAGAATGCCCATGTATGTGTGCGCATGGTATTGATTGCCTGTTGAGGTTACACTGGGTTTCTTTTCCTACTCCTTTGTGGTTTTGGTTTGTGAATCGGAGTATGCAAACTGTTGTCTCACCTGATGGATGAAGAGACGAGGTATCTTGCTTTGGACGCCATATCTTTCTACCATGCATTGTCTCTTTCTCTGAACGGATGTAGACTGTAGGTTCTTTCTGAAGTTGAAATTCGTTTTCCAGTTCGGTAGGGTACCTGGAAGTGCTGAGTAAGGCCTGGATGGAGGAGCGCCAGGCTAGTTGGAGTCAGGATGTTCGTTGAGTGCCATGTGGTCAGGATTTAGGGAGTTTGCGCACGAGATCGTCACCCACATTGGGGGCGAAGTGAAACAGTTGAGGGACAACGTAGGGAAGTACTGCGAAGGCGCCATTGAGGGTGCCAAAGCCATAGCTGCTGCAGAGGGCGAAGGTAGACCCCGCAAAGAGCCTGTAAAGCTCAAGTTTCCAGACGCGTACGGGGGAAAGGAGGAGGAAAACTTTGACAATTGGGAGGCCAGTGTCAACAGTTATATCTATTTGCAGTGTATCCTAACTGAGGAGCAAGTCCTTGTGGCCTTCCAGGCCCTCAAGGACGAAGCAGCTAGTTTCGCTAGGTCTCTTGCGCGTACAGCCGGTTGTGAAAACAACCTGGTTGCATATTCCAAAGTCACCCTCTTTCCCAATTCCTCAGGCTCCTCAAGGAGCGTTTCGCTGACCCAACGCGAGGCATTAGAGCCTCTAACAAGCTGCAAACGATTCACTCACGACAGTGGAGGAGTGCCAAGGCACTCAAGAGTACCATGATGGACTTGGTAGCCGTCTCGAACCGTGGGGTCACTGAGCCCCAGCTGGTCCAATTGTTTTATTGCGCCATTCCAGAGGCCCTACGTGGGCATTTCTTCGACAAGTCTCAACAGGCCGACATCACTTACGATGCATTGAGTAGAGAAGTCGTCCTGTATGAGTCGAAGTCTATGCCAGTCACCACTTTCTGGCATAAGGACCTGGAGAAGGGGAAGAAGTGGAAGGATCGTACCATCTCGGGCCAAGTCAAGGCCAAGGATCACTTGATCCTGACATTAGAGGAGGGTGGTACAGAAGAGGTCCCATATGATCAGATTGAGTGGGGCCTAGGGGAGGAGTACAGTAGTGTAGGGCAGGGGAGGTCTTACGCTGCTGTCGCGGCCGGAGGGAGGCCGCAAGGTAGAGGAGGAGGCCAGGGCCAAAGGGGCCAGGCCATGGGAGGCCGAGGACCGGGCGCACAGGGGCTTGGCGGATAGGGAAACCGCCAAGCGGGAGGTAGGGGTCAAGGTCCCCCGTTAAATCGCCAGGGTAATCGGTCCCCACAACGAGGAGGTGGAAGGGCACCTCAAGGAGGATGGCACCCAGGCTTGCCGCAGGGCAGGCCCTRGGAAGACTTGGGCTTGGACCAACGATTATGGCAGGAAMGCGTGAACATGGGTCAGTGCGTATTCTRTGGTGACCCGGCGCACGTAATWAAATTTTGTCCAAAGTATAGACAGGCCCGTTGGGCTGCTCAGCAGTCAAAAGGCAGCCGCCAGTAGGGGTCGCAACTGCCCCTACTTCCAGGCCATGTGGAGAAGTGAGCGCGCGCGAACAGGACACTCCCAACCCACATGAGCCTATGGCAGAGGTTGCAGGCCTGTGCCTAGATAGTTGTCCAAAGACTGCTTGTGTTAGCGTCTCTTTAGGCACGTCCCTCACAGGTATGGCAGAAGAGTTAAAGGAGAGGATGCTAGCCTGGGCCAAAATGAAAAGGGAGAGTAAGGGACAACTGATTTTGGTAGATGTAAAGGTGTTCAGAAGTAGAGTAGGGGCCCTTGTAGACTCAGGGGCTACCCGTAGTTACATTAGTCGTAGGGCGGTGAAGAAGCTGAGGCTAGGACTAAAGGTCCAGAAGCTAATAGACCCCATAGTCAGTGTCCTCGCAGACAACCGCACGATGCGCCTTGAGGACTACGTAGAGGGAGTCCAGGCGTACTTTCGCCTAGAGAAGAATGGAAAAGTGGAGAAAGTCCTCCATTCCTTGACTCTCCTCGTACAAGATGACCTTCCTTTCGATGTAGTGTTAGGAATGGATTGGGGAGAGGCAGCAGGGGGCACACTCCATCTGAGAGAGCATGAGTGTAGGCTCCCTAGCCCGTCAGGTGAAGTTAAGACTGCTCGCCTGTTCCATGTGTCCGGTGTAGAAAACACCTTGGCACATTGTTGTCTCAGTGCTCCCGCGTTCGCGCGATTAGTGAAAAAGGAGCAGTTAGAGGAACAGGTCTTTGTAGTGTATGTTAGACCTGTCACTGAGGCCCAGGAAAAGGATAGTTCCACAAATCCAACAATTGCCAAGCTGCTGGAGGAGTTCAAGGATTTGACTGAGTCGCCGACAGGAGTAGTGCCGCGACCCATCCAGCACAGGATAGAGATAGAGCCTGGCAATAGAACTCCTAAGAGTGCAGTCTACAGGATGTCCCCTAGAGAGTTAGAGGAGCTTCGCAAGCAGTCAGACGAACTCCTTGA